TATATGAATCAGGTGAATAGCCTATTTCAACGTCAGAACAAATTTCACAGAAAGACAAAGAGTGTGTTTATATGCACCCTCATAATGTGATTATAATGGGATTTGGGCAATATTACGATCAAACTTTACCTCATGTAAATGCAATACTTCAAACCAATGCAATTAAGCTCATAATTGTAGTAACCATATTCACATTACACTATGTGGCGTACACCGATTTTAATCTGAATAAACAGGCATGTAAACACCTTGATTTCATTATTACCACTCTGACCAAATTCCGCATACCCGCTAACATAAAGTCTTCATAAAGTATCTTCTTATTAAACGGTCTGTACACTTACAAAGTTCTGAATGCTTCGTTTTGCATGTATGGAGCCTCATTATGTTACTGCGTTAGTGTGGGGCTATTTTGAGCCTTGTTAGTGGTATAAACTAGCAATTTATTTTTACTTTGTCAATGCCCCCATTACTAGCATTATATGCTAAACAGTTTTTAGAGATAAAACTCTTTACATTCGATTATCATGAAAACAAATCTCAGAGAACGGTTGACTAAGTACCGATGTTTTATTAGACCAAAGGTTCATTGTTCGCCAGAGTTCTCCTTTAGGTGATGTCTTTGGTTGTGGATAAGTCGACTGATAACAGTGATGTTGCACAGCTGTGCCACTATGTGCTAGCCTGACTTCGTCATACTCATGTTCAAGAGAGAATATGTGTCTGAAACTCCTCCGTTGGGCTTTGATTATGAGGCGTGTCGTAACCGAAAAAGGAAAAAAAAACCTCAGCACTCAATTGGATAGTCGGACAGACCTACAACCAATCAGAGCAACGCAGTAAGTCAACTCCTTTGCATGGCGCAGTTTTCAAATACAAAACGTAGCATAACTTTATTTATTTTAGAAGTTAAATAACGATTGTTGCTTCTTCTACTTACTTCTCCATGAGTGCCACCAAACGAGAAACCACAACGACCACAGGCTTTTCATTACGTCCCATCTTCTTAGCGACCGTCAGAGCCAGCTGATAAGTTACACTTTTCCCAAATCATGTAGGAAGGACGCCAAAAATATCTTTCCGATCGACAAATGCCTTGATTGCAGTTCTCTGTTTGTCTATTAAAATGAATGCACTGCCGATTTATTTTACAAAAGACGCGACAGCGGAATCTATACATCTCAATTCTCCAGCTGCAGTCGTCTTTGACAAGCGCTCTTTGATAACGTGATGATTACGTCCCTGCAGATCATCTGTCCATCATCGTATAAAGCTCGTTCTTGGCAATCTGATTTTGCCTGATCATAATTACTCCTCAATGGATCGAGTCCAGACCGAACTTGCCGACCAAAAAAATGTTGTGGGCGGAGTTCGGGCTGGCATCCAAACTATCTATGTGCGATTTTTTGATGGGGAATGCTTTCGTGAGGATCTGCTTGGACTAATTCCGATGGAGGGGCACACTACCGCTGAGATTCTCTTCACCAAAATTGCTTCATTCTTTGCGGAGAACAACTTGGATTTGGCGCGCGTCAACATGTTGGTGACGGATGGTGCGCCCTAGATGGCGGGTGAGTTAAAAGAGACCATGGACTCGGTCATAGCAATTATAAACTTCATCCGTTGTACCTCCAGTTTACAGCACAGCCTTTTCTGCAAGCTGTTGACTCACATGTCTGCTGAATATAAAGATTTGCTCATTCACAAAGACATTAGATGGCTTAGCAAAGGAAAAGCTTTTAAAAGTTTTTGTGAAATAAGAGGGGAGATTCTGGTTTTTCTCCTGTCTTCAAAATTTAAAAAAGCTGGCAAGTTTCTGTCTCTGATAGAAAATGATGAGTTTAATGCAGCTGTTTGCTTTTTGAGCGACGTTTTCCAACATTTGAACTAACTCAACATGGAGTTGCAGGGCAGAGATTAAACAGTTGCAGAATTTGTGGAGAAACGTCATGCTTTTTAAAGAAAGCTCTCACTCTTCTCTGCTGATCTTTGTCCTGGCAAGATGCTCCACTTCCCCACATTGAGGAAATCTGGCCTGCAAATTACTGTCAGGGTTTATTGAGTCATTGAAAAACAACTTTTCCTCTAGGTTTGAGGATTTCAGCATCTCCAGTGAAGTGATGAGATTTGTGAAGGACCCTTTCTGTGTGTGTTGAGGCAGACTTTGCATTGAAAGGGAAGGAGTTAGTCTACAACTGGGACTCATTGACACTCAGTCATCAGATGACTTGCGACAGTCATTGCTGCAGGCAGGTTTTGAGAAATTCTGGACCCATGAAGTCAGCCAAGAGAAATTTCCACATTCAAGGAAATTGCAATTTTTCTTCTGACAATGTTTGGCTCAACGTACACAACGTACACTTGCCACTGTCGCCTTGCTTTTGGCTTGCTTTGAGCTTGCTCAGTTGGGGTTATTTATTTAGTGTTTAGCAATGTTGTTGATCTGTGTTGTGCTACTTACATGTTATCACTGTGAAGCTGCTTTGATACAATCTGTATTGTGAAAAGCGCTATATAAATAAATGTGACTTGACTTGACTTGACACTTGCGAGTCTTCATTCTCACACATAAACGCCATTTATGTGACCAGCATCTGCAACACTGCTTACGCATTGCCCTGACAGCATAAGCATATACACCTGACTTCACTGCTCTTGCCAAGTCAAAAAAAAAAAAAATGCCATTTATCTCATTAGATGGCAAATGTTAGCAAACTATTTTGAACAGCATGATGCAATTAACATGTTATTCACACCATATTATGCACTTAATGTTTTTCTTGATGTGGTATTATTGTTGAATGCAGTTTGAAATGTTTTGCCTTGATAAAGTACCATGCACTGTTATGTTGTTATAATTCTATTCTGTAGCATACTATGCACTGACTTTGGTTTTATTTTTGTTGGTGCACTTGGAATTAAAGTTGTTTGTTAGTTAAATTAATGAAATTCTAAACAAATGATATAACTCACCTAAACTGAGTAATGTAATTTTAAATAATTTGCCTTGATAAAATACCATGCACATGTTGTTTTAATTCTATTCTGTACCACTATGCACTTTGGTTTTATTTTTGTTAGTGGAGATACATTTGATGTTGCCCGTCAACATTTAAATGTAACAATGCTTTGGGCCTATGTGTCTTAGTGTCTCACAATGTGCATATGTTCTGCATTTACAAAAAAGAATATATTGATTCCTTCAGTGAGTTGTTGTAATTTCTTTATTCGTTACCATAATTACTCATATTCTCTGGCCCCTTATTTTGCTTCCGTTTCATGAACTGGCCCCAATTCCAAATTAATTGAATAGCCCTGTCTTAAGACCTTACTCTGATTTTTAGACATAATCGCATTATTGGTCAATGAGTTTTCATGTATGACCTCACAATAATGAAGAAAAGTTGGTCGCAATTTCCGTTTCATGACAATTTTAAAGAATTGCGGTCAGTTTTGCAGTAACAGTGAAAGCACACGCTGCACTAGGAAGTGAAGAAGTGATTGGATTTGTGTTTCTCATACTGTAAGTGACAAAATTCATGATTAAACAAGTGTGTGTGTAAGAAAGCTCTACTAAACACAGAGCTAGTGTGGAAATGATGGGCATGAGAGCTGTGTGATATATTAGGATGCAAAAGCAGGTTCCTAGATTTAGGACGACATTTTCCTAAGTTGAAAATGATTTAAGAAAAATAACAAATGAAATGTAAAGGTGCACTATGTAACCTTTTACATTCAAAATGAAATTATTGTCAATAATTAAATAGTAAATACAACGTTAATCCGTTTTTTGGCTTACCCTGATTCATTATGGTAGGCCAGTTATAAATGTTTATTTTAGCCCTGTCGGGATAGTTTTCGTGAGAAATTGCCTACATGTTACTCGCCCCTGCGTGTCTCGTAATATCTGTAAATAGAGAGCAGTTGCTCCGTCTACTTTGATGGGTTATGGTGTGTGAGTGGCAGAGGTTAATTGTCACAATGAGCGAGAAAGGTTGACATGAAGCTGCTAAATCTCCAACCACCAGGGAATCAGCCATTTAAAAAAAATGGATCACAAGGATCAACGTAGGCTCGGCTTTTCAGAGATGGCGAGAACTGGGGGATTTGAATTATTGTAAAAGCAATGCAGATGGTGCTTTTAATACTGAACAGGTGAGTAGGTATTTTATTGAACAGATAAATTGTCATAACAGAGTTAAAAGCATTATCTATTGCGAAGGCTCATATTCATCCGTACCACAATATTCTCCAGCAAAATGCATGCAGTTTTGTTTTTTTAACCACTAGAGGACCAAAACCTTTAACACAAAATGAATGTCAATAATTAAAAATGACTGAAAAATAACTTTTTAGATGGGTTTAATCTATATATCAGCTATATATCTTTATAACAACTTTGACGTGTGGTATATGGTACTAAAAATATGATATGATGCAGTGTCACAATTACAATATAAAAACCCTGAAACAGATATACTAAGGCTGCCCTAAATAATCTGAGCACTTCATATCAAAAGGGAACACCCTACAAATTGATCTGCTTTTACAGCAATCTTTTTCGAAGAATGCCAGAAGGAAGAGAAGAAATCATCCCTCTAGCTTTTATTGCACAAGATGCTGTCAAGTGACTTGTGCAACTGAAACAGATCCACCCTGAGCTGAATCAAACACACATGTGTGTGTGTCACAAATCCCACTGCTGCACAGGATGTTTGGGCTCAGAACACACTTCTTTAAAGATGTGATATTTATGTGAAGCATGTTGTGCCCTTCATGAGGAAGTGAGCTCCACCCAGAGAGTGTGTCAAAGACCAAAACCACACTCGTAGGTTTCATTAGCAAAACTCTCACACAAACTATTTATGTAACTAGTGCTGCTTCTGGTCAGAGAGCTTTAAGAACAAAACTATGTTGCACTCTTACAGATAACTATATGTGAGTTTGAATTCCAAAAATAAAGAACAATCAAAGCAATGAAAAGAGACACCAGCCCAAACCTTGTAAACCTGTCCATACGTCCCATTCCCGACCACCTCGATGAGCTCAAATATCCCTGCAGGATCCTGGAATGAAAATGGCATGGATTGACTGATCAGATTCACTAGGTTTGAGGCAATGATTTACTCGATTTGAATAGTTATGATGTCCACACTGTTATCTAAGTTGGCAATTCGCCCTGGTTTTGAGACACGGTCCATGTTTTCACTCTCCTTAACCACAAATTCATTCCCATATCATGTAACGTTAAGATTGACAATGACAAGTGACGAAAAGTACACGAATATTTCCCCAAAACAACTGAGTTTAACGGCCACTCTCAACTTGAAATTGCATTCACAGCAAAGTTAACACAACTTATCGCTAAGCTACTAAAAGTGTAAGCGCCGAGAGAAACTTTGTGCCAAGCCTCGATCAATCGCTGCTGTTGAAAAGATGCGAAACTGCTGAAATAAGAAAAAAAAAACTACAGTATTGCTGTACTTACCCGTAACGAGGCCAGGTCAATGTTGCTCAGACTTGTTGTAGTGAAGTCTCTCGCCATTTTTATGAGCTCGTCTATCAATATAAGAGTTTCTTAACTGATCATGGTTTGAGGAACAGTATGTCTGCCCATCTTCAGCGTGTTTAATCCTACTATAGCGAAGGCTTGGCTCATGAATATTAATAACATAACGGAACTGTCGCCCAGCAGTTGGAACTGACTCGCTAATGTTGGGAAGTGGGCGTTCACAACAGTCGTATTAACCAGTAAATCACAGTCCAACTTAGCCGCTTAAATATTAACAAGCTCATGTTCCCAGATACTCCGGAAATTTACAAAGAAACGTCAATATTATCTAATTAATATTCATATGCTAGTCCTTTACCTTAGTAGGACTTGTGATTTCTCAGGACAAACACAGGAAACACGGAAAACGAGTAAAAAGTGAAAAGCTGCCCCTTCCTCTGCTGGAAACAAAACAAAGCTTGATCTCTAGAAGCTTACTTTTGCTTTAAAAAGACGATTTTTTCATTAAAATGCACATTTTAGACATCTCAGACACACAAAAATAGAATTAAAAGACATCTCTCAGATTTCTCATACATTTATTTATTTTGTTGGTTCGATAACAATATTTTTTGCAAGGTATATTACAAATAGGGCCTAATTTATTTGCTAATTCAAAAACAAAAACCTGTGAATCAGACAAACTGCTGGGTTTGTGAATATTTTTACATAACAGCTGGGATATTTGTACTCTTCCACATATCACTGTATCCGAAGAGTAAAATGGCATACTAGTTTTGAGTATACAAAATGAAATCAATGATTTTAATTACGTTCAATTTATTTAAACTAGAGCAAGAGGGCAAAATTGTATACAACTTCAATAAAACGATAATGATAAAAACTGTTAGATCAATAACAGCACTGAATAGTACCAGATAAACCAAGATGTTTCTACCTATATAATGTATGAAAAAAACAATCGAAACAGAACTCTGATGAGGGAAAACCAAACGATCAGGAAATAAGGCAAATTATAAGCTGTATCAAATATTTAAATACCTCCCCTCCTCACTAGCTACAAACTATTTTAATGTGCTTATTAGATTTGAATAGTATTTATTTGCATAAATAGAACATAATATTCTTTAAAGCTCAGAGATGACGTGTTTTTACATTATTGTGCTATAACAACCAAAGTCATAAGGTCAAATAAAACCTTTATTGTTGGTTCACTTGAAGATGCAGATGCAGTGTTTCATGGAATAACTGTACATGGTATATTAAATAACCTTCAGATTCAAGTAGGAAAGCAATTTCAGCAGCTCTTCATCTGTCTGAAAAGTATGAAAACACTAAAGGTGGGAAGAAAGCGAGATAAACCATTATGCTTCTTTTACTTTATTTTTCTTTCTTTCTCTAATCTTAACTACCTGTAGATGAAATCATGCAGATAAAAAGGAAGAAAAGATGATACAGACAAAGCTATGTTTGGGCGACTGCTGCGAGGTGCTCTACCAGATATCACTGGAATGTTCTTGTCCAGACAGCTGTCCGAATGGGCTGTTCAAGTGAATATCTTTCTTGGCTTTCTCAATGTTATTTTGTGTGAGACGTCCGTTCAGCAGCGTCATGGGCAAACTGCAGTACATGTGACGGCCGCTGAGCGTGGCTATAGCAGTGGTGGGCAGCTCGTATTCATAGTCGCGGCAGAAGTGGCGCATTTGCAGGTGGCCGGGCTCATTATAGTCTGGTATCTCGACATGAGCTGGCACTAGCGACGCCGACGTCCCGGTCATGGCAACTGTAGATACAGCCTGCAGGTCGCCAAAGAGCCCTTGCTCGCCCGAGTCTATGACTTGTCGGCGGGACACGATCTCTTTTTTCTTAGCTGGCATTTCGTACCGGACTTGCTTCCAGAACTTGGATTTCAGCTGGTTGCTTTTGGGACCGTTCCACTTAATGAGCGTCAGCACTCGGATGGTGTGTTTGAGGTCTTCTACTTCCTGGTAGTTGATGACGCTGCGCAGGTCCGAGCATTCGATCATTATCACCTTGATTTCGCCTGTCACCAGCATGCTGTGCAGCCGTGGCTCGAACTGGAAGATGCTCCAACCACGACGGGCCACGAACTCGGGGGTCAGGATGATAATAAGACGCCTGCTCTGCTCCACGCTCCGGGCCAGATCATCAATGTATGCTGGAGACAGAGAAAGATAAATGAGTATGGATGTCATGCACCAACAAGAAGAGATTCAAATAAATTGGGTGATTCAGAAAGCATCAGCATCTGTTTTAGAGCTTGTTAGGCAATGATGTGATCTGCAATGAGAGCTACACTTAGGTTTGTCCTGTTCCATTTGTACCACGGATGTGACAGACATGAGTGATGTTGCCACAAATACATCCAATTACCAAAATGAAATCTAAAGTCAAATTTTGTAGAATTTCGTCTAGATCTGAAAGAAACTTTCTGTATGATGGACAAAGAAACAGGCAAAACAAAATCGTAGACCAGATTTACTAAACAGGGCAAATTAACGTGAGCACGCATTCCCAGCTGGGTTATTTCCATAATGACCAACATCTATCAAGAGCAGCACAAATTAGTGGCCAGTTTAAGAGATTCTTTTTTGACTGCAAAAAAACGGCTGTGAGGTAAAGGGGTCGGGTCTCACTGTCATCAAGATCAAAAATCTTAGAAGAGAAAACTTGAAGGCTGACCTTCTTATAATTATCTTGCTCTATCGTCCTCCTAAGGCCTTGTTCAACTTTACCCAACTTTCTGAACTCTGAACTCTTGACGCTTGCCTGTTCATTGTCATTTCCCATTCTCCTGCTCACTGAGTCTATTATTCAAGTTGATGCTGTTTGCTCCAACACTAATCAATTACTGTCAGTTTTAATTGGACCTAACATGTTAATTATTCTACTCCTACACATATTCTTGATTTGATCTATACATCAGGGATTGATATCTCTTCCATCTCTTCTTCTGACACTGGTATTTCTGATCATAAATTAATTGGTTTTAGCCTCAGCTTGCCTATAAGAAATGACCTGTTATTTTCTAAGGCAATCTCAAAGCTGTTGATATACGGCATCATTTTGTGCGTCCATTGTTTCCTCTAATCTTTCTGATGTCTTTGATATCTCCTCTCCCTCACTGATATTATCTAACTGTCACTCCACCATTTCTGAAATCTTGCAGGAGCATTTTCCTGTTAAGACCAGAAGCGTCCCTTCCACCCACTCTTCTCCTTGGTAAACCCCTGAGGCTACTGGTAGACGACCTGAGCATCTTTACAGAAAAACAGGCCTAACTGTACACTATTTAACTTTTATTGAACATCTAACAAAACACTAATCCCCCCTGAACTCGGCTCGTTAGTTTTATCAACAAGGCCAAAAGCATTGTTTAACATAATAAATAAGTTTACCGAACCTCCATCAACCTGGGTGTGATCTTGGATTTGAAAAATAGGTTTCTAGCATCTTTAAAAACTGCATCTAAATTACGAAATATGCTTTCAATGACAAATGCGTTAAATTATTGTGATAAAATGATAAAAGGTTAAATTATTGTAATGCTATTATGGGTGGTTGCCCTGAATGCTTAATTAACAAACTCCTGGTCCAAAATGCAGCAGCTCGAGTTCTTACCAGAACCAAAAAGTATGACCATATTAGCCCGGTTCTGTCAACACTGCATTGGCTCCCTATTAAACATCTTTTACGCTGACGTCACAGTTACGTCAGAACTGCGGATCGTACACACAAGTCTTATACAGGACCATATAGGCATTTAAAGATTTATATGCCCTCAGTTTCTATTTACGATCGGTTTCTCTATAAGGTAGGTGTAGAAGTCAGGCCACTCAACCGAGGTAACGTACGTTAATCCTGTCAGATCATCCATGCATTGAGTGAGCGTGTAGGCGGCTACGGGTCGGCTAATCTGGTTCCGTCCGTTAAAAATAACTTTTGGAAATAACAATCGCGGTCCTGGACACTGAGTGACCTTACACATTAAGATAATATCGGATTTTTTCCAGTCATTGTTAAAAAACAAGCTAACAATCCTTACTAACTAGCGTTAGTGAAGCGGCCAGAGGGATCTTTCTGCCTCCACCCACAAAAAAACGTCACCATGTTTACCAACTGAAAGGGGGTCTATACATTTGTAAATATTGCTCTGTACTTGAGCGACCTCTGAGCGACCTCTCCAAACCAATCTGACTTCTGACCTGTAATGCTGCCTGAATCATAATCATACAATGTTCGTTCGTTGGCCAGAGGAGAACTGGCCCTCGACTGAGCCTGGGTGCTCCCAAAGTTTTGTTCTCCAATCTGTCACTGATGGAGTTTTTGTTCCTTCCCTTTTTTCCTTTTTTTGCCATTGGCTTTTGGCTTGCTTAGTTGAGGACATTAAATTTAACATTTAATTTAATATTCAACAATAATATTGATCAGCCTGCATTTACACCATTATATGAGAACTGAATTGAGCTGGACGATGACATCACAGTTTTCTCCAGAGTATAAAAACTAAATTAATAATTTGTTTACAACTAAAATGAAACATCACTGAACTTAATTAAGCTGGACGGTGACGCTATTTTCTTCTGGAAACAAACTTTGTTGCATTATTTTCCTGTTATCTCTACTGTATTGTAAAAAGCACTATATAAATAAATTTGACTTGTCTCACCCTAGAGCTGGTCTCTAAAACACACATTCACAAATCTCAATAGTTTTTGATAGGATAAAATGAATGGAGATCTCGTGTTTTTCCGTGGGTGCTAGAGCCCACGAACACCCACAGGATCGGTGTCTATAGTGGGTGGTTAGAAACCACCTACAACCATCAGCAACTATCCAGAACATCTGAGCAGCTGGGAGCAATGTGCTAGAACACTGTACTTCAGAGAAATGGCCCAGCAATCACCCAGAACACTCTAGCAACTGCAAACGATCAATCATAACAGCGTAGCAACCACATAGCAATGCCCTAGCAATCCGACAGAACACCTCAGCAACTGTTTCATTCTCTCTCTCTCACATACATACACCTCAACGACCGTATTACAATGAGAACAAGCACCTTAACAACCGTACAGCAAACAACCCACAAGACATAAAACATTATGTATTTCTTCCACAAAAATAGAAAATGATTTAATCTATTTATTTATTTAAAAAAAACACTGATAATTCAAACAATGATTTGAAATAACCTATTCTGTGATGAGTAGCCATGTTCTGAACTATTGTATCATCAAATGATAAAAATCAAAAATGTCCAGATATCAGGGGAAAAGCCTTAAGAAAACCTTATTAAATTAATAAATAAAAACATTATTGTTGTACCACCTTCATTAAACATGCTGATGTAAAATCAATAAAAAAATTTTTTTTAAATACTTGTATGTATTACCATGCAAGGAACATACCTCTCTGACATTTTACGTCTTTTTTATTAAGAAAAAACTTATTAAAACTTGAAATTAGCAGTTTTCATTTGAAACCATTAAAGTGAATATATTGAATACATTACTAAAGGTGCATCACATTATCGGAGTTTCGGAGACATTTTGCGCACAAAACAGGTCCGTTGTCAGTTGTGTAATGATGACTTTTCTGTTGGTCAGCGCAACGAATTAATCACCTTAAGCATGAACCAAATCTGCATGGGGATCTTTTTTCTTCTTCTTTTTTACCCTCATGCAAACTCCTGATCGCACGGATTGTAATTTTTGAATGACTGGATTTCGAGCTTTAAGATCTTGGTTTAATGGCCAGGGCTTCAACACATGAGCTGTGTGTGCTACATCGCTGTGTTTCCGTTTCTTTCTTCATCATCCCGATTCTCTCTGTGGAGGGGAACATCTGTCACACCCGCAGTGTCACAATCTGCTGTGGAGAGAAGCGGGAGCTTGTTCTGCTCATGACAGGGTCGGCCATGAATGCAGAGACATTCAGATATCTGAACTGGCTTTATCTTTGTGGGGCCGCTGAACATTAAGTACAGAAAGACATATTTTACTGTCTCTATGTTCATATGTTTTTAAGTAAATCAGTCAGTATTGTTGTGAGAATCCTGCCTCCTGTTGTTCTTCTCCGGGCCTCTAGAGGTCACCTGTGTTCCCTTCTGCCTTAGTTCTTCCTCATGCATCCTTGTTAGCTATTATGCAGGTCACCTGTGCCTTGTTTTCCTTAGAGTATTTTAGCTGTGTTTTTTCCCCTTGTTCCTCACTCGGTTTTTGAGTCTTGGCTATGTGATTCCTGCTGTGATCCACTGTGCTCTTAAGTTCCAAGCAATCCCAAGTAAGCTATTCTTAGTTGTTTGAGTTAGTTTTTTTTTTTCTCCCCTCGTGGAGTTATTTTATTTTTCTCCTGTTATTGTTTGCATTATTTCTCCTACTATCATTCCTTTTTCTCTGAAGAACTTTTGTTGGATTTTTGACTTGCAAAGTATCTTTTTTTTTAATAAATCTACTTTGCCTGGAGTATTGCCTTGAGTGTTTCGTTTGGGTCCAACACTACCTCCTCTGTGGCTAAGTGGTAGAACATTCATCTTTCCACACCAGAGACCCGAGTTCGAGCCCAGCTCGTGACAGAAAAACCGAGTCAGCCATGGACCCAGAGACACTCAGTTCCAAGGACCTGGTTGCGTTGATTGCTCAACATGAGGCATCTTTCCAGCGCCATGAAGCTGTTCTCAGCCAACAAGAAAAGCTGATGACCAGTCATTCTCATCTCCTGGGTGAAATGATGAGTTCCATCCGCCAGCTCTCCGAACGCCTCCCTGTTCCTTCACCTTCCCCCGACAGGCCTTCTCCATTCACGGAGCCCCGACTTCCACCTCCCAAGCCCTTTGCTGGAGATCCATGTTCCTGCCAGGGTTTCCTCACCCAATGCTCCCTAACCTTTGAGCTTCAACCCTCAAGTTTTCCCACAGACCGTTCCAAGATTGCTTACATTATTACCCTCCTTTCAGATAAGGCGCTCTCCTGGGCCTCTGCAGTATGGCAGTCCCAGGATGCTTGTTGTGCCTCCTATGAGGATTTTGTGAAAGAGTTCAAGAGGGTGTTTGATCACCCTGTCAGTGGTAGAGAAGCTTCTAAACGCCTACTTTCTCTTCGCCAGGGTTCCCGCAGCACTGCAGATTTTGCCATTGAATTTCGGACCATATCAGCA